TGCACGGGGTGGGGTAGGCAGCCTCCCTGTGATCTGTGTACTCAGGTGTGTGTCTGTACTCGCCATGGCTGGTACCTGGGTTCTGCCACATGAAGGTAAGCATGACCTACTGATGCCCCTGATGAAACTGTACAGGATGTATAATAATTCCAGTGGAACTCAAATCCAAGTTAGTCATAATAGACTGGACAATGCCTCTATTCTGAGGTCTCTAAATTAGTTTGGAATTTAAGACTAAGCTAATACAAAGTTTTCCAAATAACTGTCTTTTTCAGAGTTTATACAAAGGAGTGCAAGGCTGGCTCATGATTTAGGGAAAAGAAAAATGTATACAAGATAGTCTTTACTTATAAGCACTATATAACCAGGTACTGATGGCATTGTTAAAAATGCAATGTTCACATGGTATTAGTGACCTTAGTTATTATAACTGCCTGCTGAGTATATCCACCTAACCTAAATATTAACCCAAACTCAATTTGTCTACAACTAAACTCCTTACCAACTGTCTGCCTTCCCACTCCTCCCTCAAACACAAAGAAATGTGCTGCTTTTTGGTTAGTTAATGGTACCATTTAGTTGAACACTGGCCAGAAATTCAGGAACTATCTTTGACTCCACAACTATATTCACTCTCCCAGCCCCAAGTCAACTAGTACTAAGTTCTGTAGTCTCCACCTCCTAATCATCTCTTCTTTCCTCTACCCTCGTTCAGACCACAAGTGGAGTCTTGCCGCTAAAATAGTGCTGGGTTCAAATCACAGTTCTGTTACTTATGTGGTAAGACACTGTCCAAGTTACTTAAACTCTCCCATATTCACTTTCCCCATTTATAAAATGGGGATGCCTTCCCCATAGGGCTGTTGGAATAAATGAGAAATATTTGCAAACGATATATGTGACAAGGGGTTAATATCCAAAATATACAAAGAACTCATACAAGTCAACATCAGAAAAGCAAACAACGAGATTAAAAAATGGGCAGAGGATCTGACTAGACACTTGTCCAAAGACATACAGATAGCCAACAGGTACAGGAAAAGATGCTCCACATCACTAATCATCAGGGAAGTGCAGATCAAAACCACAATGAGACATCACCTCACATCTGTTCAGAAGGGCTATTATCTAAAAGACAACAAATAACAGATGCTGGTGAGGGTGTGGAGAAAAGGGAACCCTTGTGCACTGTTGGGCAGAAATGTAAATTGGTACAACCACTATGGAAAGCAGCATGGAGATTATTTCTCAAAAAATTTAAAACAGAACTACCATTGGATCTAGCAACTCCACTCCGGGGTACTTATCCAAAGGAAATGAAAACACTAATGAGAAAAAATATAGGCACCCCTACGTTCACTGCAGCATTATTTACAACAGCCAATATATGGAAGCAACCTAAGTGCCCACCAACAGATGAATGGATAAAGATGTAGTACATATATACAACAGAATATTCCTCAGCCATAAAAAGATTGAAATCTTGCCATTTGCAACAACATGGATGGACCTAGAGGGTGTTATGCTAAGTGAAGTAAGTCAGACAGAGAAAGACAAGTACTGTATGATTTCACTTATATGTGGAATCTAAAAAACAAATGAACAAACAGAACAAAACAGAGTCAGACACAGAGCACAAACAGGTGGTTGCCAGAGGGGAGGGAATTGGCAGGGAGGAGAGAAATAGGTGAGAGAGAGTGAGAGGTACAACCTTCCAGTTGCAAGATAAATGAGTCACAGGTATGAAACGCACAGTGTAGGG